ATTTATATATATATATATATATATATATATATATATATATATATTTATTTATTTATTTATTTTTATAATTTAGAATTCAGAACTTAGAATTTATTTAGAATATGAGATCTAAAATTTAAGGTCTCCCTAAGAATTAAGATTTTTTAAAGATATTTTAAGAATCTCTAATATATATTTTTTAAGATTTATTTATGATTATTTGAATTATAATTTAAATAAATTATTTTAATTAACATTATTTTATCTTAACAAGATTTATATTTTAATATAATTATAATTTTTTGATATAATTATAATTTTTTGATATAATTATAATTTTTTGAATATAAATTTTAAATTAAAATAGAAAAAAAGATTAAATTATAGATTAATATGCATATTAGATATCAATTACATATAATGATGAAATTAAAGAATATTACTAGTCTTTCATTGCACATTAAAAGAAAGTAAGATTCAACTTAAGAAGGTATATTTTAATTTTCATATTATTTAAAAATTATGTGTGACATCATTATCAAGTTCACTTATAGATAGATAATACCTATATATATATATATATATATATATACTGGTATTTAATAATTAAAATAGTATTAAATGTATATTTTTATCTCATAGCTATTTTATTTCATAAGAATTTTAAAAAATATATAATATTACTTGAAAATTACAACTATATGTGCTGTAAAAATTAAAAATAGAAAAACAATTTTTTCTCTTAACTGTGTTATACACCAAATAAAGAATGCTTCATTTTTTTGCTTTAATTGTTTGCCAGAATCACTGACTTGTTTTTAGTTCATTTACTTTGTATTATCTTTTTCAAATAGTATAAAGAGCAATAACACCTATATTTTGTAGCTTTTATAAGTATTTAATACTACATGATTAATATATATATATATATATATATATATATATATTTGAGAAGTTTACTTTGCAAGAGGAATTAAGTGTTTTCCAATTGGATGTCTTAAATTTTGACAAACTAATGAATAATTATTAATTATTTTAAATTAATTGATATGCATTTATAGTTTAGTCTAATTCTTATTCTATTGATTAATAATGTTTCATACATCCATCCAACTAAATAAATTCATCTTAATTTTTATAATGGATGTCATTTTATTTTTTTATCTATAGAATGCATTGCATCCAAATTGATGACTTCATCCAAAAAAATTATTCATCCAAATTGATGACTTCATCCAAAAAAATTATTCATCCAAATTTTTAATATGTTAGTTTAACCAATTATCTAAATTAAATCTTTGTATTTTTTTTAATCTTTCATCTAGAATTTGTCCATAGTAACTAACCAATGAACTTACTAAATCATTTAAGTAAAGAATAAAGAATAAAGGCCTCAAATGTGGGAGATTATCAAGGACTTTGGCTTTTTGTATGACATTTGTTCAAGATCCAAGAATTCACAACATTATCCTTATGGACTTCTATAGCCATTGCTAATTCAAAAGCATCCTTGGTCTACATCCAATCTTGCATCTGCACGATGGATTGCTCCAATGTGGATTTGATATGTTTGTTTTGAAAGAATTTCTTATTGACGAATTGTTCAATTGTTTGTCATGCGTGAGGTTTTGAAAATACATATTTTTGTAGTTAAGCTTGGTGGTGAGTCTTAATCCACCTATGTGTATTGCATCATCCACACGAATTTAATAAATATGTAACATGTAATATGGAATAGTTGAAGTTGAAGTAATATGGTTCAAGAATGGTAGGGGTGGTGCTGTAGTAACATGTTTAATGTTTTAATTAGGAGTTGCTCAATCATGGAGTTCAGAGACTTGTATCCTCATAAGGACAGATTTGTTAAAATAAAATATTTTACAAATGGCTATTTATTGGACATGATAATTGCAGATGTTGTGTTGTATAATATACAAAAATATGGTTGGTGTTGATCATGAACGACGAGTGAACGGATGCTTGCAGCTACGGGCCGTTCACGGTGGGGGTTGAGTGATGGAACGGGTGGCTGGCGATGCTGGGATTCTTGTTGCCTGGTTTTGACTGAGCTTAATCCGTGGAGCTCCGGTATTCCACTAAATGTTTGTATGTATGTATGTAGGTATGCACTGAAATAAGTTGATTATAATGATAAGAACCTTTCATAATGTAATAATTCAGTATAATGATAAGAGCCTTTTGTATTGTCTTGTAGGGAGAATAGTTATAACTTCTTCATAACTATTTTGTATCTACCTAAATATAATTCTATGTTTACTAATATACATTACTTAATTTTAATATATATTAGTAAATCTAACTCAACCTTATTACCAAAGTATTATAATATTCTTAAGTAAGGAGCAAAGTTTTGCAAATGAATAACAAATGTTGAACATGCTCCTTCATACTTTAGATCAATTAAAGTAATATTTTTATTTTTATATTTAAAAACAAAGAGCTTACTTTCATCTCCTTAAATTGATGTAGAAAAAAAAATTACACAACACTGAGAATGCTATTCTAACAACTATTTTGTGCATATATTAGTTGCAAAAAAGTACAATTATAGATTGTAATTGTTATAAAAAGGTTATACCATTGGTGATAAAAATCATGTTTTAGGAAAAAAAGAACTATACTTTTACTCTTTTCCCTTGATTTTAAGATGGGAATTTGTGACTTCATCAGTTTTAAATTGCTGTACATAAATAAAAAAATTAAATTAAAAAAAAAAATTAATATTATTTAAATAAATTTATATTTTTTATAAATTATATTAATTTATATTATTATTAAAAAAATATGTATATGTTATAGTTTATAATTCTAAGATATGACAAAACTTCATAAAAATCGAGTTAAGTTAATTATATACATATTTTAAAATCTGATTATTATCTATAAATGGTAATTTTGATTACTATAATTTATGTATTGCTAAATACTTGTGTTTTATTTCTTTTTTGATCACTTTTTTTTTATTGTTTAAATATGCTATAAGAATTTTACATTATTTTAAATAAATTGAGTATTGCAATAATACAATCTTATATTGATCTATTCTTATATAGATGTAAAGTTGAGCATAGTAATTCATCTTATCAATTATATGAAATATCCTTTAGCTAATATATTTTATTAAATCATATATAATATTGTTCATGTTACTATATTAGAGCCAATAATATCTTTAACCATAATTAGGAAAATATTTTTTAAAACTCAAACATATAAATAAAATTATATACTTATATCTATCATAAGAAATATGTTTTTACTTGTATAATATTTACTTGTACTTTTGCTTAATATCTAAAATTAAAATTAAATAAAAATCTTTCAAGTATGAAATTTTATTATATTTGAACATTATTAGTATAGGATTATTTTATTATCACTTAAGTTTTTGCTATTGCTACCACAATCCTTCATCTACTTCATGTCATCATTGTTCAAAACCTTTTAAATCAATTAAATTTTTTTGTTCTATGATTTTCAAACCATATAATTGAATAAAAACTTTGATTGGAAATATAATAAACTAAAAATATTATGTTTAATAGGTGAAGAGATTTTATGACAATAGCAAAAAAAAATGTTGTGGCATTAGCAGAATTCTTAATATAAATTTGTGGTATAATAACCTGAAGTATAATAAGCATATGACGTGTATAATTAGTTTGAAAGAGAAACTTCTATATATGGTGGAATCACTATTAGAACTGTGAGTACAAGTATATTCATGATTCTCTATCTTTGTATATCTTTATCGGCAGGTTTTGTGTTTTACATCTCAAACAAATAAAGCCACTAACAGATGTTTCAAGAGTAAAAGCCCGAGATTACTCATCAGACATGCGACCAAACTTTGAATAAAATACTTCATGGAGTTGGTACAGTTTTTTTTTATGGTGTTGAAAGCTTGAACCCAGTTCCTGATATAGCTTAAACAGAACCAGTCTAAAGCTGCAGTGAAAGTGCCCGACAGAGTTGCCAACGGCTTCATCGCTTAGCAACCGCCACTCTTTACATGTTTTTGGTCAGGATTAAACATCGCACACGGCGATTCGGTTTGTGCAGTCTGTGATCATGGTTGCTCTGCAAAATTTATATTATAGCCGGAGCTCTTATGAAAATATCTAGACTTGTATGTTCCATTCTAGATCATGATGCATTTGACCTGTGCAGTCGCGGTAAACCTCATGTGGATTCATCTACACCTCGTAACATGGAATTCATCGCCAAACAGCACGTTGTGACTCCTGCTGCTTTTGATCTGCCAGGATGAGCCGCTGAAGACACCCACATCACTGTTGGCTGCGATGATGTTGATTGGGAAGGGAAACATAGTAGCAGGAGAATGCGAGGTGCTGTAGAGGGATTTGTGTGGACGAGGTAAACAAGTTGGATCTGCACTGCAGGGCATGAAACATGAAATGCAGATTTGAGTTTGACTGCGATTAATGTAAGTGTCGATGACAACACCGACAGGGATAACTGTGGTAAAAGCGGGACAAGCTGTCCAAGCAGATAACCGTAACAGCGATAATCCAGCACTCAATACGCTAATGATTAGAACTTCGCGAACACTCTTCTACAACATGCAGTCCTTGGTATGTGGGGTTAATTTATCCTATCATACTGCATGTTGGGAATGGTGCCTAACTGTCAGTCGCTAGTAACCAGAACATGATCAGGGGAATCTCCCAGTTTTACATGACGATCAGCAGTTGAAGAACAGCTGCCAAGTTCAATGTGTTATAGTAATTTTTATGCGCTTGCGTGAGGACTACACAGTGATTTTTTCAGCTGTAGGACGTGTTTACTTGTAACTCACTTAGCTACAGGTGTTGACATTTATGGATATGTTAAGACCAGTCCCCCTTTTCGACAAGATAGTCTCGAATGCTGAAGACTTCTGTAGTTAATATGTTTCACCAGAAGACTGATTCCACAAAGATGCCTCATTTCAGCGAGGACTACGCCTAGTATTGTTGATGGTGCCAATACATCCTCAATTTCCAAATTTCAGAAAGAGATTTTTGAACGATCATGCCCGTTCACCATTCATGTGAATAGTTCATCAATGTTGGATACAATGCAACAAGCGACAAAATTTGATGCTTAGCCACTTGACCTCTCAACTAAAGTGCTCTAGATTTCGCACAGATTAAGCTCTCTAAACTCTAGATATATCACCTCAAAACTCTAAACTAGAGCTACCATGTATGTACAACTAATCCGTAATCACCTACTAAAATGTGTTCCATTGAGAAAACCAAGTTTCTACTTTTCATCATTATCTTATGCTTCTGCTCGGATTGAAGAAAAATGATCATTCAGCCCGAGAGCTAGCTTTTCAAGGGAAGAAATTTCCGTATATATATAAGCATGACTAGCATGATCAGAAGAATTGTCCTAGTCGTCAGATGGTTCTGGAAGAAATTTGAATCGAGAACTCCCGACATCGACAACCTCATCCTTGGAAGTATTAGAGAAAAATCTCTTGGTCCCTGCACAGTGTTCACATTCATTACTGGGCATCCTATTCATGTGTAGGTCTTTTTTTCCTTTGCTCTGCTCTACCATGCATTCTTCAAACATAAAATTATTTGGTCATTTTAGTAACCTGTGATCAATTAAGATTGACTCACCTGCAGGAATGACGCGAGAAGGAGACAAAATTTCACCGAAGGAGTAAGACTGGTATGTTTCAGACCCAAGTTTGCTTTGTAACCAGCCCTTTCCACCATCATATCCATCAAGTACAACCCAAGTGTTCTTGAAGCCTAATTCTGAAAGTGACCTCGCTATGGACTTGGCAACATTCCCGTTCCTGAATACGTAACAAGCGGTGTTAAATTCTATGACAAAAAGGATCAGAGAAAAGGAAATTCTTCAATGTGGTAGCTGAGGTATGGGAAGTAGTGACGTACGAGTCGATGATGACAATCTTTGAGCTTTTGTTTAGTCTCTTCATAGCTGCGATTTTCAACGCTGCAATTTCTGCCTCCACTCTCCGAACATCTCGCAATTGTCCCTTCAATTTCCCTGGTAGCTCTTCAACCCTGTTGATTGGGATAAGAAATAATAAGCTTTCAATGTGCAATCAGCTGCTGAAACTACAAGAAGATATAAAGCCACCTTTACAATAAAAGCGTAACATTCGTGGGACAAGCATAGCTTTAGATCTTAATAAAACAAGGTAGATGAATTTTCAAAGATAAACAATCAGTTTCTGCATTGTGTAATTAACCAAAATACTTACGGGACAGGTAAAATTTTCTTCTTGGCATTCTTGGGCAAACTGGGTACACCAGATTTGGTTTTCTCTCTGACAGTTCTCACGTCCACGAGAGTGTAATTATCTTTGACAAGCAAATCTAATGTCTGAGGAGCAGTCAAATCACCTGTAGGATAAAAATAGGGCACACAAAGCCATATCAAGTCCAGCTCAACAATACAATACCACCAGTTTGGACACTAGCTAATAATCTCAGTACAAAACGGCTCAGGAACAACAGCTTACAACGAAAGTTAGATAAGAACTCTGTTTTCTTTACGGTTCTGCTGACCACAGAATGGTAGGCACTGTAAACATTATTTACATGTATGATTTTTGGCCAGTGGAACGCGCACCTTTGTAACCCCGAGCTGCATAAGACACACTTGAGAGCAAAGGGGGTGCCAAAAAGTAAACAAGCAACAAGGCTCCAGCTCCTGTGGCCAAAACGAGGGGATCAGAGGCCAGTATGCTCTCGAAAGTGCTGAGAGCGTATGGCTGAGCTGCTTCGATATAATTCTCGGCCTGCCCAACTGCCTCGCCTGTTACAGACACCACTGTCTAGAAGCACCAGAACCAGACCCAATGAACCAAATATTAACATTAATTAAATCTCAAGGACAAACGTAACAAACCTCAAACAATTTAAACAAACTGTTTGTTGTGAACCCTCCTACCCTTATTACACCCAACCCATTAATTATTAGATTTCTGTTGATTAAGACTAATAGAATCAACTGATATTACCTTGGCAGCATCCACAATTGGTTGTGTGTCAATACCGGCACCTTGGAGCGCGTTTTCAGCTTGCTGCTCTAAGTCTAATGCTACAGGTAGCGCAGCCCTGTAAGCTGTATCTGCAGTCTGTTGAATATATGGCGTAGCTACCTCCACTGCGGGTTTCACAATTGTGAACAGCTGCTGAAGTGCATCTTTCACCACTCCAACCGCGCTTCCTGCTGTTTGTGTCACTTGAGAAGTGACCGATTGAACCTGAGTGAAATAAATGCTCCGGTTAACTCAATCAGAATCCTTCAAACCCAGCATACTGCATATGCAACCAAAAATAAAACAAGGACGAAAATTAAATAAACCAGTGGCGAAGGTGGAATTCAGGTGTATTCTACTGTCTATAACATTTTTGATTCTAGTCCAGTTGTGTACAAGTCGAGCACCTGCTTGCGAACCACTATCAAACGAACCAGCCCTGCGTGGACTGACGTGGTTGAGAAAGATCCACGGTGTGGGGATAAAGAAGGGTTAAGTGTGTTTTCAGACACCTGTGCTTCGAGATGAAGCTGATTTTTCGCGGGCAGTGTGTGGTTAGGCTAATTCTAAACCAAGATTTCTCTGGGGTTTATGAATGCACAATTCAATGTGCGCAAAATTCAAAGACAATTCAGATAAATTCAAATGTGTTGAAGTGAAGGACTAACTTTGTAGAAGGCTCCAGGGATATCGTCACCAGTAAGGGCATTTGCCACCCCAGCATTCACCATGAAGGTGGAAGCAATGGTTGCAGGGGCCACCACAGTCAAAGTCTCAGACTTCTGTTCCTCCTTCAATCGTGAGGAAACGCGTAAAGAGGTCGAAGGAGCACCTCCACTTGAGTGATGCAAAGATTTCTTCGACCTTTCAAAGACAACTTTACCAACGTCCAGGCTCTGCGAAAACCCTTGCAGCATGGCTGCCTTACTCCCACAGATGGCAAACACTTGCATTACTCTCATCACTTGCGCCATATCTTACAATTTTCTCTCTCTCTCTGTGCACCTGCTACACAAGAGCACACAAGTGAGAAAGAGAGCGAGAGAGAGAGTCCTAAATTCGGAACGCAACCCAAAGATCAGACCCTTCACACAAGCTCCCCGCAACTGCTTGCCATCCAAAAAGCTCCCTCAAGGCCTCACAAAACACCTGCACGACATCCAAACGCCCAATTCAAATGCAACTCCTACTCAAATGCATTCGCCCAATTACCCAAAACTCCCCAGTCATCTCAGCAGACCTTGCAGCTCCCACACCGAAGCTCATCAACAGAACCATCTCACTAACACAAAAATCCGCCTCAGCAGAAACCAATGATCCAGAAACCCCCGAGAAATAGCCTAGATGAAAAAACAAAACTAAACAAAACAAAACAAAATAAAATAAAAAATAAAAAACTGCGAAAGTGGCATCACCAACAAGCAATTTTAGACCTCCATGCCCAACTCGGCCTTCAAAACAGCACCTACCCTTAACGCAATCCAACGAAACTAAATTGTGGGTTGTGTATTGATCCCAGAGTGAACAAGCTTAACAGAGAAAATCAGGAGCGAGGGGCAGAAGCGGCGATTGCTGCTGCTGCTGCAGTGGGCACTGCGTGGATCGGGAGAGCAGAATGGTGTGGACTGAGACACCAAGAGAGAGAGAGAGAGAGAGAGAGAGAGCCAGAGAAGAAGATGGAAGTGAGTGGATAGATGCCTTGTAAGCGGCAGCCTTGTGGGCGCGGATGGATGAAACACGTTTTCATTCGTATGTCTCGGACTCTGTCCATTGCGTTCACCACGCTTCGGGAACTTCGTCCGTCAAAAAAGCGAATCTGACGCATAGAGTGACTCTTCGTCTTTTTGCTTTTTTGCGGATGTGTTTGATTAAGATATAATACAACAGAATTATTCTGTTTTTGATTTGGAAGTCCTGTAGATACCTTGATACTGATCCATTAGGGGGTTTCAAACATGGCACTTTTGCAAAGCCAAATAATTAGTATGCATCATCTCATATTTCCAGGATCACTCAAAATATCAAATCCAAAATATCACCATTCAAATTTTATTACCCCTTGATATTACCCATGATTCAAACTTTATTATCCCCATGGTGTAGAGTCAGAGGGAAAAAAGCTAAGGCAAGCAATGCAATTTTTGATATTTGAAAGGCCCCTCTTTGGTATTTTGATTTTCAAAATCACCCACCTTGTGAAGTGTATTTTAGTAATTGATGTGAATGCAATCTACCTTCATCAAGATTACGAGAAAAATTCTACTTGTCATAGATTTTTGGCTGGAATTATTTCATCTTATGACTTAATTACATTCAATGGTGTTGTAACCCTATGGCTTTATCCAATTACTTCATTGCTATAGTTTAGGTGCTACTTAGAAGTTAGAAGCATGTTATTAGCCAATAGAAAGAACTCAATACTAGTTATATTACTTGTTAATTATTGGATTCTTCTATTATGATTTGTGGGAGTAGAGAAAAACAACCATTCATTTCTGTGATATGTAGTTTTGAAAAATTAATCAAAATAAATTATTCTTTTAGATAACGGATTACACATTAAAAGTTTTTATTTGTTTAACTATTTATATTTTTCCTTTCTGAAGTTGCTAGAAGTTTCACGAGTTACTTTTAAGTATTCTTTGTCTTCCTGATGTCGTGGATAATCTTTAAAAGGATGTGCACAACACATTGTATATTTATTAAGAAGAATGACTCCTGTTATGAAATTATCCTGTGATTTATAGCCACAGTTTTAACTTCTTATCAATCTACTATTGAAAGATATATTATCAAAATGATTATATGGCTTAATAAGACCAGATTTTACATAAAATATATAATTCAATGAAGATAGTTTTGTAATTGAGTTTTACAGGAGATTCAAAGTGACTTACTTGAATGTATTATAGCAAAAGTACAACTTATGATATATAAAATGTATTTATTTTTAATAAGTAAATTTTATTGAGTTCATGTGCTACTATTACAACAATGTGTGTGTGTATATATATATATATATATATATTTATGTACTGTAATAGTATTCAAATTCAAAAAGTTGTAAAACAAAATATGATTAAAATTTTTATTTTAATTTCCAATATGAATTATCATAAAAATTGATATATAACATACTCTTTTTCTTTTTTTTTCAGGTGAATAAATCATTTTATTATTTTTAAGATTATTTAAATACATTACTAATAACACGAAGTTCAATAATGCTTTATAATCTTGACCATTTTATCTAAGTCTATATTTGATTTTTAAATGAGTACAAACATAATAGATTAAACAAAATAATAGTATTGCTGCTGTATATTATCACCTAGAATTTTTATTGACATATTTCACGAAATGATTTTTAACTTTTAAAAATAATTTCTACAAAAAGTATATATAAATATATATATATATATATAAATATATATATATATATATATATATATATATATATATATAATATTTACAGTAATATTGTATGGACTTTTCTACCATCAACTATAAAAAAAAAAAAAATAAATAAAAAAACGTATATATATATATATATATATATACATATGCATATCAAAAAGATAAAGAGAGCATACACCACAAAATTTATTTAAACACTTTAAATAAATGAGTACAGATAAAAATGTAAAAGAATTTAATTGTAAAAAAATGAATATAATCAGATAAAGAGTTTATTAGTTTACAGTAAATTGAGAATAAATATAGAAATAATTTTAGAGAACCCGTGATTGATTGTGAGAATAGTAAATAAAATGCTAAAAGATTATCTCACAGTTCTAAAAATGTCAAAAGCCATAGAATTCATATGATAAACTTTTCCATTAAATAAGTTTCAAGGTTACATTAAGTTTAGATCAGTTTATATTAAAATTTCCAATATTGAAATCATGTTTTTTAAAAAAATTATCTTTTTATTCAAAATTTTTAAAATTTTCTATCAACTTTTAATATGACCTTATATTATTATTGATATTTAACTAAAAAATTAAAATTGTAAAACATTCATAATTTTTCAGAAAAATTCAAAGTATTTCACTAAAACATATGGAAATTTATTAAAAATTTTAAATAATTTGACAAATCTAAGGACACTCATGAATTAAATTTACACTTAAGAAGCTTTTAAACATGTTTTTAAAGATATTATTACACATAAAATTTATCTATATTTATTTTTTAGTCCTAATCTTGATTTAAGGTTTATAAGTTTTTGTATACTTAGCAGTATCTATTTTATAGATTTTTTTTCTTCTTGCAAAGAGATATATTATTTTTTTTATAAATTCTATATAAATTTTAATTCTTGTTTGTTTGACAAGATTTTTAAAAATAATATAAATTTTTGATTATATTCTTAAATATTCAATTAAATATTTTTCAAAGAAATATTGAAATAACTTTAAATTTTTAGATTTAAATTAGTATTTTTTCTATAAAATATATATATATATATATATATATATATATATATATATATATATATATATATATAAATTTTAACGTGATTAATATAATTAATTTTAAAAAAATTATTGAAAAAATATAGATATAAATTAAGAAATCAATTTTAATAATTCTATTAATTTGTTAGTATAATTTAAAAAATTCATTGTAGTTTATTAAAAATAAAAAAAAGATAAAAAAGATTTCATTTAGTAACTATATCACTTAAAGTATATACTTTTACTATAAATAATCATAAAAAATTATTCATGTCTATAAATGAAGCAAAAACTACTCTCTCCAAGAATTTTGATGGTAAAAATTCTTAATTTAGAAATATTATTTAATAATTTTTTTTGTATTATTTTAAAATCTTTATCAAATGGGAATTGATAATGATAAGAATGATGTTATACTTAATATCATTTAAATCAACCAAGTATAATCTAAAGAAACAATGAGCAGAATTTTTAATATTAATATAATAAAATTATTGAAAATAATTTTTTTAAAACATTATTTTATTTATAAAGTTTTTGCAAGTATTCAAATTGTCTATATGATATCAAAAAATAGATCTTTGTTAATATGTGTAAATTTTTTATAAGACTTTCAACTTTTATATCAAAAGTAAGTATCATTTATATTTTATATTTTTTAAAAAATAATTAATTAGTCAAAATTAATATTTATTTTTAAATAGATATTTCAAAAGTATAAGATCTATATGCTAAGACAAAGAAGTATATATTTCATATAACTTAAGTTGAATTCTCAAGATATATTATTTCAAATGATATTCTTATAATAGATCCTAAGAAATTTTAGACTATCATATATTTAAAAATTCTATAAATAATTAGAGATGTCTAATATCTTTAGAGATTTTTAATTTAATATTTGATCTTTATAAATAATTTTTTTTAAGTTGCAACTCTACTTACATATTTGACTTGTAAAGACAAAATAAAGTGAAATAAAAAAGTTAAATTATCATTTGAAGGTTTAAAAATAATATTATATTATGTGTATTTTTCATAGACATTGTTTATGAAAATAGATGTATTTGACTTTGCCTAAGGTGTGGTACTATTACAAATGGAAGAAAATAATAAACTTCACCTAGTAGTCTTTTATTCAAGAAATATTTTCCCAGTGTAAATCAACTTTTAGATCAATAATAAAAAGAACTTACAATATTATTTAGAAGATGCTTTTAGATCAATAATTATACAGATCATATTTATTTATACAGATCATAAGAACCTTGAATAATTCATGTCAACACCTGGAGCTTGGTGATGGGAAGGGACAAGTGTTCCTCTCGAATTCCTTCTATTATGTTTATGTGAGACTTTTGTCAGAACTACCGATCTCATACAAAATTCATTGTCCTATGATCCTTCAACTAATTGTTTCCCTGAGCTGTTTTGATTCACTAAACCTTTCGAAACCTCTTGGAGGTCAAAATTTGCAAACAAAATTGTTGACAACCAATGATGATTGAGCCTGTCTACCATCCTCGTCAACTAGTCCGCTTAGGTTAGGCTCCTCAGTGCAATTCGGTTCCTTCTCTGACAATCACAATAATGTCAAGAAATCATCCACGACCAACATCACTCTCCTCCACTCTGTCCACAAAATAAGGCCATCTGACTTCACAATTGCGATGCCTAGGCGATGTAAGCAAAGGTGCACGATTGCCTCGACGGCTCGACCAACATGTCCCAAAAACAATGAAGATTAGGAGGACAATGGAAGGAAACACAACGCAAAATTGACGCCTTAGTTATTGCCGTCACTGTCGAAGGCATGCCATAGCAGCATCACGAAACATGCACAACACTTAGTAGTTAACAATGATGTAGAGCCATTCGTTGCAGCACACCAGCCAAAGAAAGAATGAAGGAAGGACTTGAAAGACGTTAACTAACCACCTCAGCAACCACCAAGATCAGGAATAGTAACACATAGAGAAAAAAATAGGAAAACAACATCAAAATGACAACACCCCAGTTGGCACCGTTGTACGCCACTCTTAGCACGACTTCAGCATAACAAGTTGTGTCACCGTGACCAAGAATCTTCTTGACCCCCACAATGCCACAAGAGCAAAAGAACAAGTACTTGTATAGAAACAGATCCGTTGGCTACAGCTCGAGGAACCAAAAGCACGGTAGGAACAACTATTGAAGCCAACAATTTCAACTGT